GAAGTGAACAATTTTATCGAGTGAGTGGTTATCTTGTTCCTGAAGCGTCGAAATAACCTGTTTATGATTTCACTATGGGAACGAGAACATTTAGGACTGTGGTGTAAACAAATACACTGCAACTACATTCAAGGGCCACCGAAGTGGTTTTATTCTATCATGCTCCAGATACAAGCAATGCCATCAGCTGGCTTAAACATACAACAACCAGACCCAACAATTCTTGTATAATTTGTTTTGATCATACTTTCTAATGCAGAACTTTGATTTTCAGAGAAAACTACAACCCGACTGGGATAAGCCTAACTTCAACATTTCTTCGTAACAGATGTAAAATGTTCTAGTTGAATCAAATGAAGTTACTGGTAACTGCGACAGTCTGATATACTGAGGTGCCTAATTCTCTGGGGTATTATGAATTTTAATTTGTACTTAAGCCTATTTATTTTCTATAACGATATTTTTTTCATTGCTTTCTAAATTATGATCATCATCAGCGTTGAAGTCATTACTTTAAAATAACTGTGGTAGTGTACATTACCGGAACGACTGTCCCCGTTTGGTAGCATTCAATGTAAAATATGAATTTTTCTGCTGCTGTCATCGAGCCCACCCCACAAAGAGAACTCAGTGTGTAACAAAACTGAAGACAATTTTTCTTAAGTATGGAAAACCATATGAAACTGAACTCTTGCTGGAAGCTTAACTACAGATTAGCATAGACTTTTTTGCTTGAACATCATTTCTTTCGGTATACATGAAGAGACCGCAGTTGAACAAATGTACATGAATCGTTGAAGCTTGTTGCTGGTGCTGTCATCAAGTGGTATCATTTCTTTCCCTGGTAGTTCGGGTTGTTTGGGTTCATCTGGTTACTGTGGTTATCCAAGTCGCTTTTCGTGCCTGTACCTTGGTAGCCTGATGGGCGCCCTGAAAACAAGCAACCATTTGAGACCACAGAACATTCTTCACAAAATTGCTGCTTCATCTACAAGTCACAGGCTGGAAATGCAAGGATATAATTATACAATTAAAATGGAGGAAAGGAAGAATAAAGAGAAGGAAAGTTGGGAGGGGAAGAAGGAATGGAAATAGAAAAACGCGAGCACATAATTTTAAAATTAAAATTGAGGAAAGAAATGAGAAAGAAATGATGAAGAGAAAGAAAGATGAGAGGGGAAGCAAAGCAAGTAAATAAAAGGGAATCCAGCTCTGTAACAATTGAAGTCGTTGCTAGTACGACCTGTATAGCGCCTAATAATGGAGCAAACATCTGGAATAAATGTGGGAGGAAGTGGTCGTGGCTCATTTCGTGCTGCCGTCTCAACATTCGCTAGGACGGAGAGACCAAAATAGAAAAACCTCACACAATGATGTGCCAGTCGAGATTCGAATTGGGCACCTCCAAAATGCAGGTCAGAGACGCCTGAACACTTTCTCCGGGTTTTGCTTGGGGGTTCACACAGGCACACAAAATTTCATGCAACGCTACAATTTCTTAAGACGCGGGGGTGGAGGGGAACTACAAAATCTGATTACAAATTTGTGTTTATGTCATACAGCACACAGACAAAGTACTCGTGACATAATAACTGGAGAGTAAATATGTTAATTGTCTGCATCAAAATGTGGAATAGGTGAAGTTTTCCCTGTCAAGACGCATGCGTAATTTGGGCACCAGACTGAAGCGAGTGGTTAGCTTCACGCGCCAGAGATAAAGTTTCAGAAGAAAGAAAAAGCCTTTGTCCCTGACCGCACTCGAACCCCAGTTATTTTACAGTGCATGCAGCAGTCTACTGATATACCCAGTGAGCTACCCAGGTTCCAACGTTTGGCAAATCTTTCCTTTGGAATCAGGAAATCCCTGGAGTGTTGAGAGATTCCCGTTAGTGGGGGAGATCCCGAACTCCGGAAGTTGGAAGAACAGTAACGCAACGCAAGAGGCACAGAGCTCTGATGAACCTTACCTGGCCCAGTCTGCCCATGGTTCGGGTTGAGCTGGTTCGTTCTGTTATCCTGTGCTGATTTGTCCATATCTGAAACATTCAATAGCAGACGTCAAGGAACACGCTCTGATTCGCATCCGGGAGGTACTAGATTCAAATCGAAGCTTGATAACAAAATATGCGAATAAGTTCCCCTGTTCCTCCAGCATATCTTAAAATTGGTCAGCAAATTTCGCAAGATTCTCTCAATCAGTGACAATCGTGTCAACACACGAAAGAGTTTATAATGGAACAATTTCAGAAAATGCCATGGCGTGTACATACGAAAAGCTTACAGCTCATAAGACTACGTCATACAGTACAGATCTGCAATATTCGTAACGCCCAACAATGCATGTAATCTTCGTATGAGGGTATACTCATATTGTAATGTCAGGAAGACTATGTACTGTTTTCACGGGGCCATTTTGAACATAGTGCGCGTTGGATGCGGTCGAATCCACCGAGATGAAATCGTGCTGCATGTCTGGATTATAGACCGCCTGTGGTCTAGTGGTCTGAGTTCCTGGCTACAGATCCAGAGGTCCGGGTTCGATTCCCGGCGCTACAAGATTTTGTTCTCAGTAGTAATGGGTCTGGAACGGGGTCCACTCAGCATCGTGATAGCTGAGGAGCTATTTGAACGAAATGGCGGCTCCGGTCTAGAAAACCGAGATTAACGCTTGTGGTGAATCGTTGCGCTGACCACGCGACACCCTCTATCCGCAAAAGTTGGCACTAACCTCGCAGACAAGCGGCAGTCGATCCATCGGTACAGTTCGCTTGCGGACTAAAACCATGGAATTTGTTTTGTTTTTGTCTGGGTTATAACGGTACTCCACTCTGCCTTCTACAGGGCTGAGATACTACAATTGCCCCGCAAATTTCTGCCTTGACTGTCCTCACGCACAATCCAAATGCCAGACTATAACCACGGCTTCTATGAGACCAACAGAATGAACTCGGCTGCGCCATAGCTGATGTGGTTAGTTACCGGATTCCCACCGCGGCGGCCCAGGTTCGATACCAGGTCAGGTCATGTGGAATTTGTGGTGGATAAGTGGCACTTGTGCAGGTTTTCCCTCTGTAGTTCGGTTTCC